GTTGCTGCCTGATGCAGAGCACTCTCCAGTTGGTCTGGCGGCAGCATTGCACCCCTTGTATCACTCACATGTGTGTACAGCTTCTCCACACCGCTGAAGCCAGTCGCCCGCTCGTGGTGCTCCTTGATCACTCGGGGCAGCTCCTCGAGCGGCACCACGGGGCACCACCGCCACTCTCCGCTGCGCTTGACGCAGCGGCACAGGATGTCCTGACCGCCAGCGCCCTTCAGCACCTGGAAGAACTGCAGCACCTTCTTGCTGTAGTTCTTGGCGCCGCCCTGCACTGCCGCCCCCCCTCCCGCACCCCGCCGCCGCCGGCCTGAGGGCGCCTGCTGGTCGCCCTGCTTGATCCGGATGATGCCCTCTACATCTGACTTAGTGAGAAACACATTCTTGGCGCCGTTTTGGCGCCGTTCTAAGGCATAAAGGATGACAGGTTGGTTCATAATTTTAAATTTGCGGCAGCTGCGGGGTGCGGGAGGGGAGAAATAGAAGCCTTAGAGACTCTGAAAGGCGAAGGAAAGGGAGGGATCGCGGGAGAGAGCGTGCCTGATGAGCCAGACGAATCGGGGGAGGTGCCACATCAGCGGGCAACACATGACCCCCGCCAGGAGGGGACCGGTGATCGGGAGGCCTACCTGCTCTTGCAACCGCCGTTCCTCGCACTTTGTCGCAACCAACCGGGGCCCACGCTTGTCTTCTACTAGGGCCCCTGGCAGCCCTGGTGTGCACAACCTCATGCTTGGGCGCGCTGATGGGGTTGCAGTGGGATTCGCCCTGGGGGAGCTGCACCCCACCCATGTGCCTCGCCGCCGCGGGAGACTTCAAAGGGGAGGCCCATCGGCCCGCGGCAGCAGTCATTGCCCACCATTTGACGATCTGGGTCGCGCAAATTGGGCCTCGGTATGCCACGGGGGTGCCATAGGTGCCGGTGCAGGGGACCCAAAGTGGGCTGGCGGGCCCCTCACCGCCCCTGAAACGGTCCAGGGGCTGCCTGCTGCCGTAGGAACAGGAGAGACCCTGAAGATATGCTCGTTTGGCATGTGACCCCTCGTTGGCCGCTCACTCAGCGCCTCGCTGCGCATCTGCTCCGGAGCTTCCAAGTTTGCCGGTCTCCGCCACAGCCTCCATTCTTGCGTTCCTTACACACCTCCAATTCAACCATGCCACTTACTACGTGTTTAGGATGGTGTGGGCTGCAGCTCCTCCTCCTGTGTGCCCTGACACCCATTGCAGCCGCAGCGCGCCACTTGCAGCAGCAATCACAGCTTGTCATAGCTGGTAGGTGCCTGCCGGAGCAGCGGTGAGAGCTGTGGATGACGCTGAGGCTGAGGATGCGACCCATTCGCCTCCTCCATCCGCCCGCTCCCCTCCTGCCCTTCAGGCTCCACCTCCGTCCTCCAAATGGACTACCCGCATGGCAGGACAGTAACGTGAGCACTTCACCAGGCGGCCGCCGCTCTCCGGCTTGTGCCCCCTCTAGTTTGGTGTTCGAGCGGCCCAACGCCGCCGCCGCCTCCCCGCCACGCCTGCCGCAGGACGGTGTTTGTGCACACTGACAGCGGCGAGCGGATCCACGTGCTGGAGAGCAAAAAGGGGCAGCATGCAGGCCTGCACAGTGGCATGCGCGTCCGCGTCACGGGGACCTGGGCCGGCGGCATGCGCAGCGGCGGCGGCATGGCTGCGGCGGCAGCAGCAGCGGCTCCCAAGGCGTTTGTGGCAGCCAGCACGCAGCGGATTGGCGGCGTCAAGCGGGGGCAAGTCAGACGTGAGCTGCCGCGCCTGTTGCTCCCCACCGGTCCACGCTGCTGCCCTGCCCCTTGCGTCCCCCTTGTGTGCCCGCCGCTCGCGCCGACCGTAACCTTCTGCCGCTGCCGCTCCCGCTGCAGGCCCAGCCCTGGCCAGGGGCAAGCTGGAGGCCAGCGCGCCCATGCTTTCCAGCAACCCGCCAACAGCCAAGGACATCTCCACTATAGTCATCCCAAGTGAGCAAGGGGCAAAGAGGCTGCGGCATGCGTGCTCCTCACATGCACGTGGCACCACGCACAGCATGTGCGCAGCCAGCCTCCACTCACCCTTACCTCCCCCCACCTGCTCCTGCCTCGCGCAGTTGCCGGCGTGACGCCCCAGGGCGGCGCCTGCCCCGGCACCAGCCTGCCCCAGTTTTCCGTCGACCAGGTCAAGCGGGCGGTGCTGGAGGCAAACCGCAGGAGGCAAACCGCAACGGCACCACTGTGGGCTCCCTCTTCGGCTCCTGCTCCTACGGCAAGAGCCGGCTGACGGCGGCAAACAGCCTGGTGGCGCCCCTGGTCAAGCTGCCGTGCGAGGGCATCACGTGAGCGCCTGCCTGCATGCTGCGCCTGCTGCGCCCAAGGAGGCTGTGACTTGGCGCGCGCACCACTGCCGCCATGCGCCACCTTCTGACTGGCCCCCTGCCCGACGCCGCCTGCCCTGCAGCAACGGCGTCGCCTGGACCTTCTCCAAGTGCGACTTTGACGACTTCAACGGCTGGGCCGATGCCGCCGACGAGGCGCTGCGGGCACAGGGTGTGGCGCTGGAGAAGTACAAATACAGGTGGGGCGGCCACATGGCAGCAGTAATAGGGGCAGCTAGCTGTGACGCAGCGTGATGCCGTGGGTGGCGAGGCTGCCGTGCCAGCTGGCTCACCGCTGCCACACCCGTACTCTGCCTCCCCGCCCGCCCCGCAGGGTGTACCTGGTGCCCCCCAGCGCCTGCGGCTTTGTGGGGCTGGGCTACGTCGGCTGCGATGGCTCCTACACCTGCCGCGCCTGGATCGGCAGCGCGGTGTGGGACTCAGCCACCGCCATCGCACACGAGCTGGGCCACAACCTGTTCATGGGCCATGCCACCTCCATCCTCCCTGACCTGTCAGTCGACGAGTGAGTGGCCGGGGCTGCAGGGAGGGGCGCCTGGCGGAGCTGGCTGTGCCAACCGGCCGGGTGGTCATGTCCCCAGCACAGGTCTGCTGCCCCCTTTGCTCATCCTTCTTAGTCCCCCCCGCGCTGCAGGTATGGCGATGTAACCAGCGTCATGGGCTACTGCTGCGAGACGCGCTGCCCCAACACGCCCCAGGCCTGGCAGATGGGCTGGCTCACGCTGCAGCAGCTCGACAGCAGCAGCCTGAAGCCGGGGCAGACGGTGCAGCTGCGGCTGGCCAGCCAGGCCATCTCCTCCCAGACTGGCGCCCGCATCGATGTGTCCAGCTGGGTGGCGGGTGTGGACCCCATCTTTGTGGGCTTCCGCACCGCGGAGCGCGGCGACAGGGGGCTGTCGGCAGGCGCGGCAGGACGTGTGCACGTCTACACTGCCCCCACCACCAACAATTTTGATGCGCGGCCGACGATCTGGCGGGAAGGCCTGGCAGCGGGCCAGTCCTGGTCGCAGCCCGCCTCTGGGGTGGTGGTGCGGCACAAGGGCATGGCAGGCAGCTCTGCGCTGGTCAGCGTGTGCCGCAGCGGTGGCGCCGAGACCGCGGCCTCGTGCGCTGCCGGCGTTGACTGGGATTGCAACGGGCTGGCGGGGGCGGCCGACCCCGCCTGCGCCTCGCTGCTGGCCTGAGCACCCCCTTGCTGCTCAGTAGAGAAACCCAAACCAGCCCCCAGATTTCACACTAGTATTGCTGCTGAGAGTCGCTTGTCTCTGATCAGTGCCCCTTTAGCCCAGGCTCCAACCTCCTTTCATAGGCCCACATTTTCCTCCGCTGTGCCCGGTCTGCTGCTGAGATCCACCGACTGAACTCGTTTGTGCATGCATCCCTACCTGTCACCCCTCCCTCTTGCACACTGTATCGTTATCACTGTCTGTGGCTTCATCTCTCTTCTTTCCATGCAGCCGGAGGTCGCAGCGCTGAGGTGTCTGCACCCCTGGCCGCCATGCGGAGCTCCCATTGTTTGAGCGGAACAAATGCTCCAATCTCTTCCCACCCAAGGCAATTTTCCGCTCGATACTGCCACGCTTCCATCTTCTTTCAATTCTTGCACCGCCATTCAATTCAAACTGTTCGGCACAAGCCGGATGCAGTCTCATTCTTTCCCAGGTCTGTGCCAGGTGTGAGGCGCAGGGCAGTATTTTCCTCCAATTCCTTGCAACTTGATGTAACCCTTTTTGAGCAACCCTGTCCGCTTCTTGTTCTGTATGCTTTGAAACCTTCCACCTTCCACTCTTGGCACCCACATTGCTCATCGGCTGGCTGACTGCTCCCTGCGTTTCCCGCGCCACCTGCACCCAGCCCTCCCAGACCCCATCACGCCCCCACAAGCACCATTTCATGCCAATAATATTCATTTCGTAGAACCCTAATTCCTGTGAACGTGACTTCCATGCAGCCGAGAAGGCACGGGGTGGGCAGAGGCGGTGCACCACATGGCAATAACTTACTTGAAACGGGTGGTGCGCGCATCATCTCCAGGTGATAGTTTGAGTTCTGATGGTGCATACAGATTGAATGACTGCAAGGTTGGGTCGACTGTAGTGATGAGTGTGACCGCAGCAGCATTCACATACATGCCAGCGGTCACATATGTTAGCGCTGCGGCGGAGGCGCCTGGTGGGCTGCCTCTGCTGGCAGGTGCACTCCAACATGGCGCCCAATTTTATGCTTGCAGGGGCAACAGTGCCCTCGGATCCTGCAAACGCAACAAATCAACAGGCATATCTGACTTATGCATCCATGTGCCTTATGTAAGGATGAGGTGGCACTCACGTCCGGATGTGCACTCGTCCGAAATTCAGGCAACCGGCAGCGGCTCTCGCCACATAAGATTTTCTTACGGCCTACCAGAATTTTCATAATGACGAGACGTTGGCTGAGCTGCGGCTGCGCCAATGCCATATGCTTGTTCCTCGCCCTGCAACCCCTGGCGGCCGCTGCGCGCCACCTGGCCTCCAAGGAGCAATCCGTGGTGGATGGTGGGTGTGGCAGGGGCGGAGGGATGCGTCGGCTCACGTTCAGGCGCATGAGCTGGTGTGATACCTGGCTGTGTGCCCCCTCGTCCTCCCGCAGGCACAGCAGCAGTCCTCTCGATGGACAGGGAGGATGGAACGGCCTCGAGGTGAGCAGCCGAGGCCCGGTGGCGCCAGGGCCCCGGCCGGTGCCCTGAGCGGGGCCGCAGGCACACCGCCGCCCACCAACGCCGCTCATGCTCTGCAGGGCCGTCTTTGTGCAAACGGGCAGCGGGGAGCGAGTGCAGGTGCTGGGCAGCAAGCAGGGGCCGCATGCAGTCCTGCACACGGGCATGCGGGTGCGCGTCACTGGCAGCTGGCTCGACGGAGCGCCAGCGGGCGGCACGCAAGCGGCGGCCGCTGGCGCGCAGCTGGGGCTGGCACCTCCCCGTGCCTTTGCATCAGCCGTTGTGCAGGTGGTCAGAACCGCCAGGCGCCCGGACACGCATCAAGTCAGACGTGAGTAGATGGCTGCGTTCAGCTGGGCGCATGTGCCACCTCCTCTCCCTCTTGACCGCTTGCCGAACCTCGCCCAGCCGACATGAGGAAGGCCACATCTGAATCGACGCCGCCACCGCCGCTGCTGCCGGTGCAGGCCCAGCAAAGGCCGATCCCGCCAGCAGCCGCGTGCAGCTGCTGCCCAGCAACCCGCTGATTGAGCGAGAAGTGTCCACACTAGTCATCCCAGGTGGGCAGCCCCCTCCAAACGCACACCTCCACCCATATGGCTGCTCCCCCATGCATGCGCTGGCCCCAGCGCTCATCCCCCTCCAATTGCCCCCACCGCGTGCTCGCTGCTTCCCTCATGCTACAGTTTCTGCGGTGACCGCTAGAGGAGGTGCCTGCCCTGGCACCAGCCTGCCCAAGTTCACAGCAGCACAAGTCAGGCGGGCGGTGCTGCAGGAGGCAAACCGCAACGGCACCACCGTGGGCGGCATCTTCAACCAGTGCTCCTACGGCAAGAGCCGGCTGACAGAGGCAAACAGCCTGGTGGCACCCCTGGTCAAGCTGCCGTGCACGGGCACAAGGTGAGTGTGTGCCTGGCAGCCTTGCTGCAGCTTCGCATGCCGCCCTGACAGCAACCCCCGGGTGCAGCAGCTCCACCGCAGCATGCCTGTTCTGCACGCCCCACCCGCCCTGCAGCAACAAGGTGGTCTGGAGCTTCAACAGATGCGAGTTTACCGACTTCTACGGCTGGGCTGATGCTGTCGATGAGGTGCTGCGGGCGCAGGGGCTGGTGCTGGAGAAGTATGCACACAGGTGTGGGGCGTGAGGCAGGACAGGCGCCAACAACCGCTGGCGCCTCACATCTGCGGCCACTGCCACTGCTCACTGAATGCACTGCACTGCTCACTGAATGCACTGCCACCCTCCGTACTGACACACAGCATGCCACACCCCCGCACCTGCGGCCCCGCAGAGTCTACCTCATGCCCCCCACCTCCACCTGCACCTTTGTGGGTGTGGGCATGCTGGGCTGCGACGGCTCCGAGCCGTGCCGCGCATGGATGGGCGGCGAGTGGTGGGCCTCGCCACCAGCCATCGCCCACCAGCTCTTCCACAACCTGTACCTGGGCCACGCGAGCGCCGCACAGCCAGGAGGGGTCGACGAGTGAGTGGGCAGGCCGGAGGGCGATGCATGGTTGGGGCAGGCGGCTGGATGGCTGGATGGCTGGCTGGCACAGCGCCCCCTGTCGCGTGTGTGCTGCCCTTACCTGCTCCACGGCTGCCCTCCCTGCCTGCAGGTATGGCGACGCAACCAGCGGGATGGTGAGCCTGGCGGTGCCTGCTTGAGCAGCGCCTTGCAACTGTGCCCAGCTGGCCTGCATAATCGGCAGTGCTCCCCTGGCTGCCAGCCGCCCTCGCCTGAACATGCTGCTCGGACTTGCTGCAGGGGTTCTGCTGCGAGGGCCGCTGCCCCAACACGCCCCAGGCCTGGCAGATGGGCTGGCTCACGCTGCAGCAGCTCGACAGCAGCAGCCTGAAGCCGGGGCAGACGGTGCAGCTGCGGCTGGCCAGCCAGGCCGTCTCCTCCCAGACTGGCGCCCGCATCGATGTGTCCAGCTGGGTGGCGGGTGTGGACCCCATCTTTGTGGGCTTCCGCACCGCGGAGCGCGGCGACAAAAACATGCAATGGGATGCAGCGGGCAACGTCCACATTTACACGGCGGCGATTGCCAACAACTACGATGCGCGGCCGTCCATGTGGCAGGCGTCATTGGCAGGTGAGGTGCCGCCGCTTGGCTGACCCAGGGAGCCTTGCTCCTCACCAGGCCAGCTATGTTGTCCCCCCACCCTGCCCTCTGGCCCTTGGAGGCTCACACAGGCCGCACATGCCTCGCTGCCCCTGCTTCGCAGCCGGCCAGTCCTGGTCGCAGCCCGCCTCTGGGGTGGTGGTGCGATACCGCGGCATGGCAGGCAGCTCCGCGCTGGTCAGCGTGTGCCGCCGCGGTGGTGCTGAGACAGCGGCCTCGTGCGCTGCCGGTGTTGACTGGGATTGCAACGGGCTGGCAGGGGGGGCCGACCCCGCCTGCACTTCAAAGCCGTCGGCACGCTGAAGCAGCAAGACTAAAAATCAGTGCATAGCAGGCCATTCAATATGATGCAAGCAATAAACCCTGCAATTTTCTTCTTTTTTTATTAATTCAATCATTCAATTGCCACCAACTGCATTGTTCCAACACAGATCGAAACGCTGCAAGCTGGGGCCCGCCTTGGGTGCCGTCTTGCTAGATTTTTCAGCGGTTGCTCGCCACTGTTCACTTTTTGCTGGAATTTTCTTCTCCACTAAGCCCTGGAGTCCACACTTGATTGATCTTCTTCTTTCACAGCTGAGCCTTCAGTTGCGCTGATGCGCTGCTCGACGGCGACCGCCTGCCGCACAACGTCCTCGTCGAACGCTCATCCTAAACGAAACAAATCGATACCAGTGTTCAGTCTGATCATTACCTAACCCATTTCACGCGTGTAAACTGGGTAGCTCAAAGGGTCCAGATGGCCACATGCATGCTCAGGGGCGCACCAGCAGTGCGCCCGCAGCGCGGGTTAGCAGCAGTTCCAGGAAGAGGCAACGGTCTAAGGGCTGCTGCCATTGCATCAGACCAGAATAATCCCAGCTTAATGCATGGCATGATGAGCAGGATAAGGGGTTCGCTTCTTGTCCATAATAGCATAGGCGTAGGGGCAGATGCAGGCGCAGGGGCGGGTGTCCCAGGGCCGGCGGCGCCGGCAGGGGCGCGGCGCCCATGCTGGGTTGTGCAGCCCACCCCGCTTTCCTCAGCGTCGCCTGCGCTCCCTCCGCCCCCTGTAGCCGGCAAAAGCGGAAAATCCAGAGCGGCAGGAGAGGGTTGCGCTCCGGCCGGCAGCTTCTGCCGTGGCGGCCACTCCGGAGAACCGGAGGAGGTGAGCGCTTATCGCAGCACCACGCGAGGAGACCTCGGTTTCAACGAAAAATGCCCCCCACAAGATGAGAAATCATACATCTCGAAGGGCTGGCCTGGGAAGCAGCCTCCTGGCGCTCGCCCTCCTTGTGTTCCTCTGGGCCCCGCCAGCAGCGTCCAGGAGGCTTCTAGGGGCGCAGAAGGAGACTTTAGTCAGCGGTGAGCGGAGCGGTGGGGCGCTAGAGTGCTGCTCCACGACGCCACTCCAAGCTGACTCCGCCCGGACCTGGTGCCCTTCCTTGCAGGCAAAGCCCGTGTCATATCCATAACGCTGGCCTCCCACAACACGCAGCGGTGAGCCTGCGAGGCTCGCGCAAGCCCATCTTAAGCTGCCCTCCAATGTTGGCTCTACCCTCCTCCCTGCACCCCCCCGCCCTGCCGTCGCTGCCGCCTCCCACCTGGCCCCTGCCGCTCCCTCCTCCTTGCAGAGCCGTGCTGCTAGACACACCCACAGGGCGCATTCATGTGTTGGAGTCCAGGCGTGGCCTGTGCACGGGTCTGCAAACCGGCATGGTTGTGAGCGCCCGCGGCCGCTGGGTGAGCGGCAGCGGCGGCAGCAGCAGCGGCGGCAGCAGCAGCAAGGCAGCGGGCGCGCTGGCACCATCCAGCTTCCTGGCGTCCAGCATCCGGGCCACCGGCGGCAAGAAGGGCCCGGCACCAATGGTCACCAGTGAGTCCTTGCTGGCTGGCCGCTGACCCGCCACAGTCAATGGAGCTTGTGCTGCCAATCCGACGACCTCAGCATGCCTCATGCCGAGGACGCCGCTTCCCTGCCTCCTCCCCCTGCCGCATCACTGCCTGCCACCTCTCCCCGTCTACTGCGCAGGACCTGGCGGCGAGATGGTCGCTGCCGCAGCAGGCAGCAATGGCGCCACCATCAGGCCGGCGCTGACCGCAAACGCGCTGGTGCAGCGAGACATCAGCACGATCGTCGTGCCAAGTGAGCCACCACTGCAACGGCTGCGTCTGCCCTGCCCTGGGGCTGGCGCTGCCAGGGGCTGGCACTGCCAGGGGCTGCACGCTGCTGTGGACTCAGCAGGCGCCGCTCGCTGCTACCATCGTCGCTGCCCACTCCCCCGCCTTGCCGTTCCTCTTGGTTGGATTATGCCTCTGCTAGGTGCTGCCGCCAAGCATTGTGCACACGCGTGCCCCGGCTGCGCTCCTGCCTGCAGTTGGCGGTGTGACAGAGGAGGGCGCCGCCTGCCCTGGCACCAGCCTGCCTAGGGCCAGCGTCAACCAGGTCAAGCGGGCGTTTTTTTGTGGAGGCCAACCGCAACGGCACCACCGTGGGGTCGCTCTTCGGCCAGTGCTCCCACGGCAAGAGCCGCCTGACGGCGGCAAACAGCCTGGTGACATCACTCGTCAAGCTGCCGTGCGAAGGCAACACGTGAGCGCCTGCCCTGGGTGCCTGCATGCTGCAATGCAGGGCCAGCAGCAGGTTGCGCTGTGCCATCCCTGGCGTAGGCTCCGCACATGCCTGCATGCCCTGCAGCGTTAGCTGCGGTCTAGTGTGCTGATGATCTAGTGTGCTGATGCTCTGCTGGCTGCCCTGCGGTGCAGATGGGGCGTGCCCTGGTCCTTCTCCAAGTGCGACTTTGACGACTTCAACGGCTGGGCGGATGCCGCCGACGAGGCGCTGCGGGCAAGGGGGGTCATGCTTGAGCGATACAAGTACAGGTGAGGCACGCAATACTGCGAAGAATACCCTTGGTAGCTGCGGCTGCAGACATGTCCCGCGGTGCCCTCTTTCCACACGCGCTGCTGTTGTGACCATTGCCTGCCGCCTCGGATGTGCCCCCCTCTCCGCCCCGCAGGGTGTACCTGGTGCCCCCCAGCGCCTGCGGCTTTGTGGGCCTGGGCTACGTCGGCTGCGACGGCTCCTACACCTGTCGCGCCTGGATCGGCAGCGCCTTCTGGGACTCGCCCCCCGCCATCACACATGAGCTGGGCCACAACCTGTTTCTGGGCCACTCCAGCACCGCCAACGAGCAAGGGCAGGTCGACGAGTGAGTTGCTGCTGGGGCTGCTGGGGCTGCTTGATGAGGGACGCCCGGTGGGTGGAGGAGTGCCGGGCCTGGCATGCCGCCAACCGGACGTTGCTCGCATCGTCTGCAGGTATGGCGACTTTACTAGCATCATGGTGAGTCGAGCCCACCTGTTGTGGCCCTGCATTGCCAACGCCCTTTCAGCAGGGTCGGTCGGCGGCACATACATGAATGAGCATGGGCAAGCCAGCATTGGCACTGTCCGTTTTCCGCCGTCTCTGACGCTCCTGGCCGATCGCGCTGCTGGCTGCAGGGCTACTGCTGCGAATCCCGCTGCCTCAACACGCCCCAGGCCTGGCAGATGGGCTGGATCACGCTGCAGCAGCTCGACAGCAGCAGCCTGAAGCCGGGGCAGACGGTGCAGCTGCGGCTGGCCAGCCAGGCGCTCGCCCAGCAGAGCGGTGCCCGCGTCGATGTGTCCAGCTGGGTGGCGGGTGTGGACCCCATCTTTGTGGGCTTCCGCACCGTCGATCGTGGCGACAGAGGGCTGTCGGCAGGCGCGGCAGGACGTGTGCACGTCTACACCGCCCCAACTTCCCACACGTTTGACAGCCGGCCGACGCTCTGGAAAGCAGGCTTGGAAGGTGAGGCATGGGCGAGGTCGGTGCACTGGCAGCTGGTCGCAGCGGTTGGTGCCAAGCGAGGGCTGGCCCGGAAGGGCTGCTCCCATGTCTGCCATGCCTCACAAGTTGCTTGTCCCTGCCTGCAGCCGGCCAGTCCTGGGCGCAGCCTGCTTCGGGGGTGGTGGTGCGGCACCAGGGCACCGACGGCGGCCTGGCGCTGGTCAGCGTGTGCCGCAGCGGCGGCACGGAAACCATGACGTCGTGCACCACTGGCGTAGACAATGACTGCAATGGGCTGGCGGGGGTGGACGACCCTGCATGCGCCTCAATGATGCGCCTGGGCGTCGGTACCGAGACCACCAACAAGGGCTAATGGTTGGGCCCTGCCAGCTGCTCGGCCAGCTACTGTACCTTGCTTCTTTGTTGCATCTCCTTTTTTGCAGGACGAATGCCATTTTGTTTTTGAATCAACTTCCTTCCAGTCACTGTTTCACACTGTCAGTACGGGTTGCACCCAATCACCTCCTGTCCTTCTAACCATCAACTCTTGCCCTTCCGAGAACCCTATCATCATTCACACGTGCCCTGATCCCCGCTGGGCAGGCCGCGCTCGCAAGCGCCGCCCGGCTCCTGTCACTCCCTCTGTCCTGGTACCCTTGGCTCCCTTTCATTCTCCCCCTGCCAAGTACACCTCTAGCCGTTTCATTTGTCTACCTACAAAACATTTTGCTGGTACTACTCAGCCGTACACCGCTCCGCGTGTCCCATTTTGTCTCTGCGGCGCCCATTCTTCTGTTACGGCTTTCATTACTGCTTCTTCCCCCTTTTTATTCATTTAATTGCGTCCAAATGTAGCCTTGACACATGTCTGACTTGTAACGCCACCGGCACGGGACCGGCAACAGCCAGCCTTCTGCGCGCTTGCTTAGAGGCAACGCCCGCGTGACTGGTTTGGAAGACACATCACAGGAGTTACAAGCTACTCAGGGCATCAAGCTATGGGCTGGTATCTAACAGGGGATAGTGCTTCACAGATGGGGTTGAATCGAAGTGTGAGAAGCAGTGTTGGAATCGAGAGAGGGAAGGGCAGGGGCGCTGGGATGCAAGATAAGTTGGGTTCAAGTGCCTGTCCATCTGCCATCCACATCCGTGTGGCACCGCTCTCCCCGGTTCCACACTCTATTAGAAGCGGGCTCTCGCTGGCAGCGCCGCCGCCGGCAGCTGCCGCACAGCGATTCCGCTGACCAGCCGGCCGGGAGCTGCGGCCGCATGCTGGGCCCCAGGCTTTCCTGCCCGGGTCCCCTCAAGTGAGGTGGGAAGGAAGCGAGGCTAAGAAAGCAGGGTGCGGGATCGATCAGAAATCAGAAGATCCACACCATGGCCAGTATGTACGACAGCAGGAAGACCGCCAGCAGGATGGCCACCAGCAGTACGGGCCCGCGCTGGTCGTCGTACCGCACCGTCTCCCGCCGCAGGATCTGCCACGTGCGGTGCCTGTACATCGCCAGCGCGTACGCCATGAACAGCAGCGCCACGGGCGCGATGATGGCGCCAGACAGCTGCATCGCATCACATGCGGGTGGGGGTGGCCGGGCGACTGGGTGGGGCGTGTTGGCGGGTGGGGTGGACGGGGCTTGCACGGGTGGGCATGTGGGGTGGGCTGGCGAGCTGCGAGAGGTGCTGAGGCAGGCACTGCACCACTTGACACACTGCACCAGCCCAGCCCTTGTTCCATCCTGCCCCACTTGCCTTGGACGCAAAGCAGGCCTTATCGGTGCTGGCATCGCAGCTGAGGCCTGCGGCGGAGCTGGCCCCGGTGGCGCTCACGAGCATGCCGGTGCCGGAGAGGAGGCTGGTGGCGGTCATCATGATGAGCACGCTGCGCCAGGGTGGCGGGGCGGGGCCGCGGGGAGGCGGGGAGGCTGCTCAGAGGCAGCGAGCGTGCGGCTTCTTCCGTGCTCCAGGCAGCTGGTCGCGCCAGCAGCAGCCTGCTGGCCGGGCCCCCCTGCCTATCGGCTGTGAGCCACACCTCAGCGCACCTGCCAGGCTGCCAGCCAGCCAGCCAGCCAGCCAGCCTGCCTGCCCAGCCACCCAGTTAAGCCAGCCAAGCCAGCCAGCCCTGGCCCCACCTGATCTGCAGCCACTGCAGGAAGGTGCGCTCGTTGGCGAAGAAAGTCTTGGGCTCCACACGCGTGCGCACCAGCGCCTTGACGCGCCCTGAGGGGAAGCAGGGCGGCGGGGGCGGGCAGGCGCAAGCCAGGTGCGGGGCAAGTGAGGCACAGCACGAGGGCCAGGTGGCGGGAAGGCGGCCTTCCCGGCCGGCCAGCTGCGCCTGCCGGCACACACGCTCCCGCCAAGCCCCCCGGCCTGGGTTCGTGGGGCTGGAGAACTGTGCCGTGATCTGAGCGGCGGCTGCGAGGAGCAGCAGGCGCGCGGCGCTCACCGCTGGGCGCCGCCGCTGCCGCGCCCGAGCCGCTGCCGCCCGCGGGCGGCGCCGCCAGCCGATACTCGAGCGCGGCAAAGGCAGGGGAGGAGGAGGCTGCCGGCTTGCCCGCAGACGCGGACGCCCGCTTCTTGCCGCTGCCCTTGCTGCTGCCGCCGCGCTTGCCGCCGCCCTTGCCAGCCCCGCCCTCATCTGCACGCCAGGCAGGCAGGGCAGGGCACAGGGCAGAACAGGGCTTGAGCGTGGCTCGTCACCCACAGGCGATGCCTGCACCCTGCAAGCACCCAGCCTGTTTGCCAACAGCCTCCCTGGCATTGCAAGGGCCCAGCCCAAGCCGCACCTGCTTCCGCGGGAGGCTGGCCTGCCTCCAGGTCTTGTGCGCTGTCCATGGGGGTGGAGGTCTGGGAGTGGGCTGGGGAGGAGCGCGCCACGCGGCCGCCGCCGCCCGCAGCCGCAGCCGCCGCCGCCGCCGCCGCTCCGTTGGGCTGGCCCGGCGCCGAGGGCTGGCTGGCGTGGCCTGCGTGGCCTGGCGCCGCGCCCGGCGGCGGCAGCGCGGGCGGGCTCTGGTACACCGGCCAGGTGGTGCTGCGCTGTACCGCGCCCTGTACTGCCCCCTGCATGGTGCCACCGGCTGGCGTGGCTTCCCCTGCCGCCGCCGCCGCCGCCGCCACCACTGCCGCATAGTACGGGCCGGCAGCCGGCGGCGGCAGCAGGCTCCGAGCCTGGAGCCCCTGCCCCGGCGCCAGCAGCGTGCGGGCAGCCGGCCGCGAGGTGGGGGCCAGCTGCATCCCTTGGCCCTCCTGGGCTGCTGGACCGTGGTCGCCGCCGCTGCCGCCGCTACCGCTGAGGCTGCCGCCGCCGCCGCCGGCCGCGGGCGCAGTCTTGTTGCGGCGCAGGAAGCGCAGCGGGGAGGGTCGGTACGGCGGGTCGGTGGGGGAGCCCGGCTCGGGCTCCAGAGGGCCGCCATTGTCGCGAGGGAACAGCCAGGAGGCGCCCTTCTGCGGCAGGCGCCGGTGGTGGGGAGGAGGGAGGCAGGGGTGGGGCTTGGGGTTTAGGCAGGCAGGAGGGCGCAGCAGGCCGGTGGTGTGGGTGGTATGGGAGGGTCAGCCAAGCTCCTGGCCGGCCTCCCAGCAAATCAGCACAACAGTCAGCAACATTACAGCATCAGCAGTACGATCAGCAGTACATCCAGCAGTACCGCTGTCTGTACTGCGTGCTGTACCTGCAGGTACTCGTCTGCCGGGTCCGCCATCTCCTCCCAGGTGGCGGGGCTCATGCGCCGCGGGTCGCCCTCATCTGCATCAGAGGGGAGCCCCGTGGCGCATGAGTGAGGGCGCGCAGCCAAGGGCGGGCAGAAGAGCACAGCTGGGGAGCTGGGTGAGCTGGGCTTGCAGGCGACGAGGCGGCGGCAGGGTGGGCACGCCCCGGCCTTGGACGCAGGAGGAGGCTGCCCCCATCCCACCACAGCATCCCGCGGGGCCACCACCCCAGCGAGCAGCGGTATCCCGGCTTGCCTGGCAGGAACCAGTAGGGCACGTTGCGGCAGCGCTCCTGGAACAGCAGCGCGGTCCCGTGCAGGAACTTGGAGAACTTGGGCACCGGCAGCAGCATGCCTGCGGGGAGGGTGACACCAGGGCGGGGCAGGTTTGAGGCGGTCCTTGCGTGGTGTGCAGAAAAAGGAGTGGCAGCTGTGGCAGCTCCTGGGGCCACGGGGTACAAATGCAGCAGGCAGGAGGCGCGATGAGGCGTCCCAAGCGCCACGCTGCCGTCGTGCTAGCACCAGCCCGGCCGTAGCCCTGCCCCGCCCCGCCCACCCACCCGTCTCCAACAGGCCCTGCACCCAGTCCGGGGGCGCCGCCTGCAGCTTGATCTCCACCACCGCGTAAGGAAAGTAGGCGGCGTCGGCGGCGCCCGCCAGCGGCTGCGACATGTCCCTGCAGGGAGGAAAGCGCGGCGACAGCCTCTTGTGGCAGATGTGCCGCTGCTGCACAGGTCAGGCTCTAGCAGGAGAGCCCGGCCGGCAGCTGGGCGGCATCTCAAAGCTGCAGCCAACTGGGGCAGCCACCAGACCACTAGAACGACAGCCACCGCGCCTCGGTTCAGCCGCCCCAAGCGCCCCCACCTGCACCAGTCTCCCGGGGCGCGCGGCGCCCCCGCCTCCCGCACCATGTGCAGCTGCGAGTCCAGGCTGATGCGGACCTGTGGGGCGGCAGCAGGGGGAAGGAGGGAGGGAGGCACCGGGGGAGGGAGGTGGAGCAGCGGAGGTGATGCGAGAAGATAGGAACTTGAGCTGTGCAGGGAGAGCGGTCCATTCAATACCAACCAGCCGACCAACCCCCCCCCCACCCACCCACCCACACACACACAGCCCCACCTGGTTGTTGCTCGACTCCTGGAAGGCAGTGCGCCGGTAGCAGGTGCGCAGCAGCGGCTCCTGCAGCCACATGCAGGCAGGAAGGAGGAGGAGCGGGGCGCTGCAGTTGCACGGGCCGCAGCACAGCACGTGCGTGGCGCAGCGGCAGCAGGTCGTCGCCTGCCGCTAGGCAGCGGCGCCTCCGCACCTGGCGGCGCTGCGACAGGAAGCGCTGCGTGTCCCGCAGGAAGTCGAGCTGCTCCTGGGAGTAGCTGCCGCCGCCGCTGCTGCCGCCCAGCAGCATCTCTGGCGGGCCTCCTGTACCGCCTGCACCAGGAGCACGGCCTAGTAAGTGAGCCAGCACGGTGGAAGTGAGGAGGCGGGGCGAAGCAAGCAGGCAGGCAGCCCGGGGGGGAGCATGCCCAGCAGGCACGGCAGCGCTGCGCGGCGCAACCACAGCGCTCCGCAAACTCTGCGCTCTGCAAACTCTGCTCCCAACAAACAAACCAAACCGACCCCTCACCTGTGTAGGCAGCCACGTGGCGCTGCGCCATGGGCGCCCGCTCCTTGTAGCTGCGGGGCGGGGAGGGAGGAGCAGGCGGGCAGGAGAGGAGATGGAAGGGGTCGCAGGGTTGCCGATGGCAAGGCCGAGGTTCTCTAAAAGAAGAAGAGAAGAAAGGCAGCACCTGGCCGTGTCAGCCTCAAACAAACAACTTGCGCAGCCACAGCCCACCTCAGCTCTCCCGTGTACCGCTCGCGGTGCACCTTGCGCTCCACAAACAGGCGCTGGTCGGGGGACAGGCGGCGCTCGCCGTACCTGGCAGGCCACCCACACACCAGGACGCCAGGCGGGTGGGCGGCAGCCGCGAGCATGCAGGCGGGTGCATGCATGCCTGCCAGCTGGTGGCGCGGCACCAGCAGCCGCAGCCCGGGCACTGGGGCGCCGCCCTCGGCACAGGGATCCGCCGTGGGCGAGGTTGTGAAGGGCTGCGCCACCGTATAGGCCACTCACTCACCAGCGCAGGCGCACCACGCTGGCCTCATCTTCCTTGCGCAGGCGGTCGTGGTAGGAGGGCAGGGCGGCTGCGGGGGAGCGGGGAGCAGGGGAGCGGGGCAGCAGACCTGGTGCTCAGCCTCGACTGGAGCTGCGGCGGCAGGCAGCCCGGCTGCTCCCACCTGGCCCCCCATTGCAGACACAAGCACCCAGCCACCAAAAAAAGGTATAAACACACACACACATCATCAGCACACACCCCTCCACGACACAAACACACTCGGGGCCCACCCACCCACCCGGGTCGTCATAATAGACCGAGGACACCTCAGCAGAGTCGGTGACGGCGGCCTGGTCCCGCAGGAATGCCACGTGGTAGGGGCTGCCTGCAGGGGAGGCACGCAGGTGTCCACAGCAAGGGGATGGCAGGCGTGTTAGAGGTGCGGAAGGAGGCTGCGCTGTCACAGGCTGCGCTGCGGCGCGTGCTGGCCCAGGCGCACGCGCAACAGCACGCTCAGCCCAGCCCAGATTGAGCACAGGAGCCCGGCCCAGCCCAGCCCAGCCCCCCCTGGCCCCCGCCACCCACCCTCTGTCAGCTTGCGCCTGTCCCCGAAGATGAGCACGGGCAGGTGGCGGATGACCCGCGCCTTGAAGGCCGCCACGTCGGCGGGGTGCAGCCAGAACTCTGCGGCGAGGTGAGGTGGGTGGGTGGGTCGGTGGGTGGGCGAGGGAAAGGCGGGTTGGGATGGGGGTTGAATGAGGCGGGGAAGGGAAAAGCGGGCAGAAGGAGGCGGCGTGGTCGGGCGTTGACGCGCCCTGCCCACATGCCAGGCGCAGGTGCCGGGCAGGCAGGCCATCCATGCACACGTCCCCAGCCCCCCCACTCACTGCGCGTCACGCGCTGGAACTTGTCGGGCGGCACCCACTTGGCGGGCTGCCCCGCCAGCGCCGCCGCATCGCTCTCCACCAGCCTGCACATTGGCGGGGGCAGGGGCGGGTGGCAGTTCAACAGAGGCCGACACAAGGCAGAAACAGCACACCGCACGCCCGCCACGGCCACACGCTAGCAATGAAAGCCACAACGGCAGGTTGGTGCCGCTCTGCCCACTGCCCGCTGCCCGTGCCACGCCACGCCACCCCACGCCACGCCCTTGCCTGCACAGCTCGTATGCGTCGCTGAGCCCCACCACCAGCGGCTCCAGCCGCAGCTCCCCCAGCAGCGCCGCCTGCGCGGCCGCAAGGTAGGCCCCATCCACAGCCTCAAGTGGCAGCTCGCTGGCGGCAGTACCGCTGGTGGCAGTACCGTCGGGGCCCTGCCAATGGTGCTGCTGCTCGTACATCTGTGGGCGCGGGGCGAGGCGGGGAGGCAGCGGGGGGTAGGAAGTTGGGCGGGCACCCTGGGGCCCAGCACCGTCCGAGGTGCGCCTGCCGACCTGCACGCTGCTGCAGCCCCCGCTCCGCCCTGCAAAGCAGCGCCCCTCGCCCACCTGTGCCAGCTGCGCGCAGGCGGCCACATTCTGCCGCACAAAGCGCTCCATAAGCACCACCTCGTCGGCGGTGGCGTCAAAGCCGCCGCGCAGCTCCGCCAGGCGAGCACTCAGCTGGCGCGACCGCCCCGCGGCCACCGCGCCCGCCTGCGCGGCAGGGCAGGGAAGCGGCAGGGGGCCTGTTGGGACCCGACCCAACCTCCCACCACTTGGCAGGCACGCCTCAGCGTGACACTGCGGCACCAGCACCGCGAGCAGGCCCCAGCCGGACCTGCAGCAGCTCCTCGCTCAGCCCACGCAGCTGGGCGCATGCATCCAGCAGCGCCAGCCAGAGCTGCTCCAGGCTGCTCTTCACAAACAGGCGCAGCCGCTCCACCTCCTGGGCATAGCTGCGCTCAAACGCGGGCCCTGGCGCGACGCTGCCATGGGCATGCGGGTCTAGAAGGCGCGCCGCTGCGGCTGCCGCAGCGGCGCAGCTAGAGCCGTCTGTGCCGCCGTAGGCGGCGAGGAGGTGGCGCAGCAGGACCTCGGAGCCGGGGCTGGGACCCGCGCCCGCGTCGGCTTGCAGCTGCACCAGCAGCGCTTGGTAGCGGATGTAGCAGTGCTTGAATTTGCCTATGGCCTGCAGGCAGACGGGGGAGGGTGGCGCGGCTCACAACGCAAGCCGGCGGTTGCGGCCGCCGGCAGGGCCGCCGCTTGCAGCCGCCGCCGCACACCTGCTCGCGCAAGACGCTCACCTGCTCGCGCAAGACGTCTGACAGCGACATTGCTGCCTGGTGCTTCTGCTGCTGCTGCTGCTGCTGCTAGCTGCTCCACCCTCGAGAGCTCAGGGAGGGGCGTGCCTTCGAACGCTGGGCTGCCTGAACGCTGCTATGCACACAAAACCAAGCGCCCCAGCCTGCTTGCTGCTGGTGCCAGCAGCACAGGCCAAAAGGGGGCGCTGGAGGGGGGCAGGGGCTGACGCTCCTCAGCTCGCCCGCCGCCTGTTTGCTGCTCCCACCATGCTCTACTGCTAATCGTAGTGTGCTCACGAACGTGCAGATTCCACGGAGGAGGAGGCCTTGCAGGCCAGCTAGACACGGCTGCTAGGCAGCCTTGGATCGAACAAGCAGGTACCCGTATTGCTCCGTTTGATTTTGGATCACAACCAAGTTGCAGCGAGCAGTCAGAGAGGTGCAGGCGGCAGGACGGAAGCCCCACTGAGTTGTTGTGGGGCCTGTCACCCGGGCTTAGCCGCTGACGGCTGTCCCGCGCCTCTGGCGCGCACACGCCGCCTCTAGAGCAGCGTCAGCAGCGCCCGCCATGGCGGCGCTCCCCCACCCGCCGCCGGCCCCGTCCGAGACGCTGCCGCCGCACCCGCCGCCGACAGCTGCCGAAAATCACAAATCAAGGCTGAAGGAGCTGTTTGATGGGCACCCACACTGCGGAGGCCCAGTCTACCACACAGATCCAGTGCCGGGGGCCACGCCTCAGGACCTGGTGCAGTGGAGCTGCAGGCGGGTGCCGCTGCCGCCGAGCCCTGCCACTGCAACGTAGGCGCCTGCCTTGAGCTGCCAACCGCTAGCAGGCTGTGGGTTGTGCTGTGCAGGCTGGACTGCCCGCCCATCAGGGTGCAAGACACCGGCCGGGTGCTGTGCGAGGGCCGCACGTTTCAGGCACGCCTCGCTGCTCCCTGTCTGGCGTCGTCAGCTGGACAGCTGTGCCCATGGCCTGCCGCCGACACTGCCGTGAGCGCACACCCCAACAGTGAGTGCATGCAGTGTGGTGTGCAGGGCTCAGGGCACAACAAGAAGGCGGCGGAGCAGCACTGCGCGGGCCAGGCGCTGGCGTTCATTGCGCCTCAGCTGGGCATCAGGGCCCCTGCCGCTTATGCGCCTCCTCCCGGCACCACGCCAGGCAATGGCCCATCAGGCAGCTCTGCCGACGCCCAGAGCGCAGCTGGTGGCGGCGCGGGCTTGGCGGCGCTCCTCCCACCGGTGCATCCGGCTGCGAAGCCTGCTGGGCGGCGTGTGGTCGAGGCTGATGAGGAGCGCATGCCGCCAGAGCAGCTGCGAGAGGCGCTGAGGGCGGCGCTGCAGCGCGAGCAGCGGCTGCTGGCCCAGCTGGCAATCATCCGCAAGCAGGCTGACGAGGCGCTGCAGGGCAGCACGGGGTGATGAGCGGGGCAGGGGATAGCGCTGAAGAAGCGGCCCACGGCGCTGACGTCTGCGCTGTGCCTACTGCACTCCCTGTGCTTATCACGCTCTGGTGTGTACGAGTGAACAGGCCTGTACAGCCTAACCATAACATATGTCGCATGCCTCCCCGCCGGTTGACCCGCGCTGAGTCCGCTGCGCCGCCACGCCACCCTTGGATCAATCAAAGCAGCACGTCTCTGCTCCAAACGTTTGCTAGTTTTTTTGCAGCAGCAGGTCATAGGGGAGCATGCCATATTGAGCAACAGGGTTGCAGCGAGGGCCCAGTAAGGGTGGCCCTCACTGTTCAGGTGCTCGAGCAGAGCGATTCAGTTGCGCAGCTTTCCAAGGCTCGTCTGCCTGGGTTCTGCGTGGCCCCGGCGCCCGACATGGGCTGTGGCAGCGGTGGAGTTGCCGTGCGCCCTCAATCCCGCCGTCGCTCCGGCCGGTGCGCTACCCGCCGGGCGCGGCACTTAATGCAGCAGAACATAAGTCACATTCTAGGCTGAACCACCAGCGACAACCCACACCCGCCCTCCCCCTGCAGGCACCCTGGCCATGCCCCTCCCACTCGACTTCCTGCTACCATTTGAGGGGCAGCAGCACTGCGACTGCGCCCTGGTGCTCCTGCTGCCGCCCGCTGAGTGGGAGGTGGCGCAACAAGAGGAGGGCGGCACCCCCGACGCCGATCGGCAGCAGGCACCAGAGGAGCAGGTGGAGCAACAGGAGCAGCGCAGAGTCAGTCTTCAAACCAGCTCCACTCTGCTGTCGGTCTACTCTGAAAAGTTCAGGTGCTGTGTTGCTTGCCATTGCATCTCTACACAAGCACTGCCGCACTGACAGGGTGATGGCTTTTGCTGCAGGGATTGGATTGCCTGCTGGATGGACGGCGCCGCCGAGAAGGAGCTGGAGGTGCATTGCCGCAGCGAGGGTGAGGTGGCTGGCTACCGGCACCTGCTGGCCTTCATCCACAGCATGGGCAAGGAGGTGCCTGAAGGTGAGCTGATGATTTTGATTGTTCTACAGCCCTGCTCCTCACAGCCCGCTGTGAGTGGTGCTCATTGATCCCCACCTTAGCTTCCTGCAGCCGCCGAGGAGCTGATTCACCTGCTGCTGCTGGCACGGGAGCATGCGGTGGAGCCGGCCGTACTGGCCTGCTTGCAGCAGCTGCAGCAGCAGGCGAGCTGCACAATGCGACTGTACTACCACTGTTGCTAAAACTGTACATTCCTTGCCCACCTGTCTGACTGCCTGCCTGGTGAGTGCAGGTCCCCAGCATGCCTGCCACAGCCTACCTGGCTCTGCTATCAGCTCTTGAGACTGGTGCCTCGGGTCGCGACACTCTTCAGGCAGCGGCAGACAAGCTGGAGGCGGATCTGTTCACGCAGCTTTGCACGCTGCTGACAGCAGGCGGGGCTGTGCCTGATGCCGCATGAAGGCGGCAGCTGCTGCAGTACCTGGGGCCTCTGCAAGACATGCTGAATCACGAGCGGCGGCGGGAGGTGTTTGCCCGCATTCCGTTTGGCCTGCTGCGGGTGAGTTGGGAGCCTCTACATTGTTGGCGCTGGCTGCAGCCTCAATCATGACAGGGTTTCAACTCTGTCTGCTGCTGCAGGACTGCATTTTTGCGGATGAGAATGTGGATGCCGACACTGAGGCCACAGGTTGCTGCTGCTCCTGCTGCCGATGACGCGAACATGAGCCTGTCGATGTGCCATTCAGCCTGCCTGATCACCCTTCCCTACGCCTGCAGTGCTGGCGGCTTTTGCTTACTAGGCGGAGCGGAACATCATAGACACTGAACCGGATGCCGGGCAGCGCATCGCTGCCATCTGCAGCCTCATCCGCTTCCCCGACATCCCTGCCAGTGTGTTGCGCAGCTACCACCTGTGTCACAGCTTCATGCGCACATTTGATCCCGACAGGGAGCTGGTAATCATTGCGGTAAGCAGGCGCCGCCCTGTGCCTGGCCAACCAAGGATGATGCACATTGATCGCCTGCACATTGAATCACCAGCTGAAGTGCAGATCACCTCGGTGGCCGAACCATCACAGACTGCACGCTGGAAGCAACTCATGGCAGGCAGCAGCTCGAACGACCTCAAGGCCAACTGCGAGCGCTGGTGGCTGCCGCGCCCGCGTCCTCTTATTGCCTACCCTGAGCTTGAGTCCGCCAGTTTTGAGTTCAAGGTAAGCACGGCATGCCTCCTGACTGATTCCGCAGCTGCAGCTGTCTCATGCCGTTTACGTTGCTCCGTGCAGCCCGCAAGCAAATCAGACAACGATGCGGTACACCGAGTTCCGCTACTGGGGGGGTACTATTGGAGAACCCGGTTGAGGAAGGACGAGAGCAATTTGGCTTCTTATGTTATGCCATCTGTTCGCCACGATGCTCCCATTTTCATCCAGAAAAGCGAGAAGTTACCTGGCACTCTGGTGTGGCACATTCATGTTGATAGCCCAGCTGCATGCGCAAATCATTCAGGCCAAAAGACGACTGTCCCTCTGTGCAGGTGGAGCACACAATCTGGCTTTGCGCCGCGAACTCCACATCTGATCTGGAGGCAGTATCCGGCACCGCCTACTTCACGCCCTGCTCCGGCTCCGGCTGGGGATATTCAGCAGTACGCGAGGCTCCCGAGCATGGCGATCAGCCCATCACCTGGGACGGCTTCTGGGCGGAGGGCTCCCGCTTCATGCACAACGGCGCCGCCCACATGCGCCTGCAGCTGCGCCTGCCCGGCAACTAGTGCATGCCCTGGTGCACCCAGGCCTCCTCATGCCATCTGTATTCAGCACGAATGACTGGATGTATCACGGCCTGCACTTGTGATTGCGGCACCTCATGCATCAGGGAGACGTGGCAGGGCAACCGGCAGCAAAATGGCGGGGCGGCCTGCTGCGCCCGCTGCACTGCCCACCCATCAACAACTCAGTCCGTGCCTCAGCTCACGGCGTGGTACCAACCGTCTAGTGTTGGTTGACTGGCTTTATTACAGCAGCGGCTCCCCGCACATGCCGGCCGCTCGAGCGGGCCCCTTCTGTCGGCGCACCTCCAACTTGCTGCGGCGCTTGTCAACCGATGCCAGATACGGTGCGCCTCATCGCGCTCATGATAGCCGGACTGCAGCCGCCGCAGTTGCTCCCCTGCGCCGCCACCCGCCTGCGGCCGCCACTGCCCGGCTGCCCGCTCCCACCCTGCCCCTTCTGTGTGCTCTTGTTCGCTCCGCAGACCCGAAGCTCGCCAAATGGCTGCAAGGGTGGGTGGCGGTGCCCGAGGCGGTGGTCACAGAGGGCACAGCCCCGCCCACAGGCAAGCGCCCGCACCCTAGCTGCTCGCTCTCGTGCCTGCCTGCACCTCTGCTGGGCGCTATGCTGCACACAGCCCCTTGTCACTCCCCCATTCCACCTCCTCATCACCCCCCTTGCCCTGCCGCAGCGCTGTCATGGCTGCGGCGCCGCGGCCCGCCGCTGCCAGAGTCTGCCCTGCACAAGCTGTTCCGGGTCTCCACTGTGCGCCTGTATGACCCCGCCACCCAGCGAGTGGGCCGCGCCAGCAAGTCCCGCCTCCTGCCGCCGGGTGCCACGCTGCTCATCCCCAGATCCACAGTCGCCCCTCCAGCAGACAGCAGCCGGGCAACGACGGCGCCGGCAGCACAACCAGCGGCAGCACTGGCGGCAGGAGCAGCGGCGACACCTCTTTGGCGGCCGCTCGGGCGTCGCCGTCCCGGCAGCGCGCCTCTGAGCGCTGGGCTGCCCGCCTGCGGTCGTGCCTGCTCCACAGCGACCCCGACCTGCTGGCTGTGTGCAAGCCGGCGGGTCTGGCGTGCCAGGGTGGCAGTGGCGTGTCGCACAGCGTGGACAGCGTGATGGCCGCCGCCTTTGCGCACCTGCCCGGCCCAGCCAGCCACCACCTGCGCCTGGTGCACCGCCTGGACAGGCAGACCACGGGTGCGCTGCTGCTGGCCAGGGGGCCCGACGCCGCCGCCTGGCTGGCAGCGGCGTTCCAGGAGAGCAGCGGCGGCGGCAGCAGCGGCGGCGGACGAGGCGACAGCAGCAGCGGCGCCATCATCCGCAAGCAGTACTGGGCGGTGGTGGCGCTGCCCGAGGGCGGCGCTGCCCACAGGCTGCCCGCGGCCGGCGCCATCAGCCTGCCCGTGCCCGGCGGCAGGGGTGGCGTCGCGGCGGCGCAGCCCGCTCCGACGCGCTACCGAGTGCTGCACCGCGGCGGGGGCCTGGCGTGGCTGGAGCTGGCGCCTGCCACGGGGCGCAAGCACCAGCTGCGCCTGCACTGCGCCCAGGGGCTGGGGGCTGCCATCCTGGGAGATGGGCGGTACGGGGCGGTGCGGAGCGGGGCCCAGGCGGTGCCGTTGGAGCGGCTGCAGCGCCACAGCAGCCCAGGAGAAGGGAAGGGAGGCGGAGCGGCAGCAGGCGGGCGCTGCTGGAGCGGGAGCGAGGCGCCCCTTTTCCTGCACTGCCGCAGCCTGGCGGTGCGCAAGCCCGGCGCGGGGCGGGGGCAGGTGGTGGCGACGGCGCCGCTGCCGGCCAGCTGGCGGGCGCTGCTGGAGCACCAGGGCTGGCCGCTGCCCGATCCCGACTGATGAGTCCTCCATGGCGGCGCTCCCCCACCAGCGCCGGCCCCATCATTGGTGGTGCTGCCGCACCCGCCGCCGACGGCTGCCTGGATTCACAAGTCGAGGCTCAAGGAGCAGTTTGGCGGGCACCCAAACTGCGGTGGCCCAGTCTACCACACAGACCCAGTGCCGGGGGCCACGCCTCAGGACCTGGTGCAGTGGAGCTGCAGGCGGGTGCCGATGCCGCCGAGCTGCTGCTCCACGGTGCTGGAAACCGGCTAGCTGCCGTGCGAGGGACGTTTCAGGCAAGCCCCTGCGCTCGCTCGCTGGCAGCAGCGCTGCGAGAGAGCTGTGCCCATGAGCTGCCGCCGACACAGCTGTGAGCGCACACCCCGTAGCTGCTGCAAAGAAAACATGCGGTGTGGCGTGCAGGGCTGGAGGCATAACGAGGATGAGGCGACCGGGCACCTCCAAGCGTTGTGCCAAGCGACGGCCCATCAGGCAGCTCTGCCGACGCCCAGAGCGCAGCTGGCGCCAGCGCCCACGGCACGGCCGCAGTGCATCGTGCGGTGCCCGCGGCTGGCAGCGCTGGCGGCGGCGCGGGCTTGGCGGCGCTCCCCCCACCGGTGCATCCTCGTGCTGCGCAGCCTGCTGGGCAGCGTGTGGTCGAGGCTGGTGAGGAGCGCATGCCGCCCGAGGAGCTGCGAGAGGCGCTGAGGGCGTCGCTGCAGCGCGAGCAGCGGCTGCTGGCCCAGCTGGTAATCATCCGCAGGCAGGCTGACGAGGCGCTGCGGGGCAGCACGCCGTGTGTGGAACAGGGAGAGCGCTGAAGGCAGCGGCCCATGCCGCTGGCATCTGCGCTGTGCCTACTGCACTTCTTTTGGTTGTTACTCTGGTGTACAAGGGAGACAACAGGATTGCGAAACGTCAACACAATTAGTGAATGGCAGCGGCTTGGGCCGCTGCCCAGTCACCGCGTGCTGCGGCCGCTGCGGCCGCCAGGCCACCCTTGGATCGATCAGCACCTCTGCAGGTTGTAAGTGAGCAGGCCATAGTGCAAATAGGTTAGGCAGCAAAGGGCCGAGTGCAGGGTGAGCACCCCCTCGATTCAGGTGCTGACCACTGCCGTTGTCCAAGGCTCATCGGCTGGGTGACACCGCGGCCACAGCGCCCGAGGTGGGCTTGTGGCAGCGGTGGAAGTTGCCGTCCGCCCCCAATCCCGCCGGTACTCCCGCCAGTGTTGCCGAGGGCAGGGCACTTGATGCAGGACCCCGAGTCACATACAGGCTCAACTATTAGCGACCACCCCCACACCCGCCCTTCCCCCCTGCAGGCACCATGGCCATGCCCCACCCGCTCGACTTCCTGCTGCCCTTTGAGGGAGAGCAGCACTGGGACTGCACGCTGGTGCTCCTGCTGCCGCCCGTTGAGGACCAGAAGGCGGCGCAGCAAGAGGACGGCGGCACGCCCGACGCCGACCGCCAGCAGGCAGACCAGCATGAGCAGCAGGGCGATGAGCGGCGGGATGCACAGCAAGATGAGAGCAAGGGGCCAGCTGCCAAGCGGCAGAAAGCAGAGCAGCAGAGCGTGGATGGGCCGCAGCATCAGCAGCCTCCTGAGCAGCGCAGAGTCAGTCTTCAAACCAGCTCTACCCTGCTGGCGCTGTATTCTGAAAAGTTCAGGTGGTGCTTTGCTTGCCATTGCATCTCTACACAAGCACTGCCTCGCTGACAGGGAGATGCCGTTGCTGCAGGGACTGGATTGCTCGCTGGATGGGCGGCGCCGCCGAGAAAGAGCTGGAGGTGCATTGCCGCAGCGAGGGCGAGGTGGCTGGCTACCGGCACCTGCTGGCCTTCATTCACAGCATGGGCAAGGAGGTGCCTCAAGGTGAGATGGTACTGATTGTTCCCACACATCACTCCCAGCCCTGCTCCTTGCGGGCCCGCATGCCCAACCACCTGTGCTTGCTGCAGCCGCCGAGGAGCTGATCCAGCTGCTGCTGCTGGCACGGGAGCATGCGGTGGAGCCGGCCGTACTGGCCTGCTTGCAGCGGCTGCAGCAGCAGGTGAGCTGACGCAATAACTGCCAGCTTAATCGTCCTGCCTCTGCCCATTGGCTGCCTCCCTGCCTGCCTGGTGTGTGCAGGTCCCCAGCCTGCCTGCCACAGCCTGCCTGGCCCTACTGTCGGCTCTTGAGACTGGCGTCTCCGGCCACGAGAAGCTTCAGGCAGCGGCGGGCAAGCTTGCAGCCGCCATATGCAAGCACCTGCTGCAGCACCTGGGGCCACTGCAAGCCATGCTGAATCATGATGAGCTGCAGCAGGTGTTTGCCAGCATTCCATATGGCCCGCTGCGGGTGAGTTGCAAGCTGTCGCAGCATGGTGGGTGCCAGCCCGGTCACTGTGCTCTAAAATATTTAGACATCCTCCACTCCGCCACCGCAGGACTGCATTTTTGCGGATGAGAATGTGGATGCCGACACCGAGGCCACAGGTACCTGCTGCTGCTTCTGCCGATGCCGCCAACATGAGCCTGTCGATGTGACGTTCGGCTTTGTTGCCCATGCCCTGTGCCTGCAGTGCTGGCAGCCTTTGCCTTCTGGGCAGATCAGAACATTAAAGACACCGACCGGGATGCCGGGCAGCGCATCGCCGCCATTTGCAGCTGCATCCGCTTCCCGGCCATACCTGGTCACATTCTTGACAATTACTATACGTGTCACAGCTTTATGTGCACCTTTGATCCCAACAGGGAGCTGCTGTTCCGTGCGGTGAGTAGGCACCAAAGCCCTGCGTGCCGGCAAGCAGACAAGGGTCCTGGCTCTGGCTGAACTTGCATGCTGTTTTGCAGATCACCTCAGCGGCCGATCTATCGCAGGCTGTACGCTGGAAGCTACTCATGGCAGACGGCAAGTTAATGGACCTCAAGGCTACCTGCGAGCGGTGGTGGTTGCCGCGCCCGCGGCCACTTAGCCTCTACTCCGAGCTTGAGTCTGCCAGTTTTGAATTCAAGGTAGGCGATGCATGCCTCCTGACTGATTCCGCAGCTGTGGCTGTCTCACTGTTTACGTTGCTATGTGCAGCCCACAAGCAAATCAAACAACGATGAATATGTGTTCACCGAGTACCGCTACTGGGGCGGGTACTATTGGAGAATTATGTTTAAGAAGGAAGAAAGCAACTTGGATGTGTTTGTTATGCCATCAGTTCGCCACGGTTCATGCTTTATCGTCAGGAATAGCGAGAAGTTACCTGGCATTCGGGTGTGGCATTTGATTGCACTGCTGATAACTGAACCACCTGCGCGCGCAACTGACAGGCCAAAAGACGACTGTCGTTCTCTGCAGGTTGAGTACACAGTGTGGCTCTGCGCCGCCAACTCCACGTCTGATTTGGAGGCAGTATCCGGCACCAGCTTCTTTGAGCCCTGCTCTGGCTCTGGCTGGGGAGAAATATTTATAAAGGAAGCCCCGGAGCATGGCGGGCAGCCCATCACCTGGGACGGCTTCTGGGCGGAGGGCTCCCGCTTCATGCACAACGGCGCCGCCCGCGTGCGCCTGCAGCTGCGCCTGCCCGGCAACTAGTGCGTGCCCTGGTACACACATGTCTGCCTCATGCTGCCATCTTCTCACAAGTGACTTATGCGTGACGCCGGCGCCAGGGCTGTACTTGCAATTGCGGAACATCATGCATCCGGGAGACATTGCAGGGAACCGGCAGCAAAAAGCGGGTGGAGCTCCCGCTGCGCCGCCCTGCCCCGGCCGGCATCAGTCTTTCACTGACTAGATTCCATGGCATTGGCCGGATGGGCGGTACGGGGGGGTGCGGAGCGGGGCCCAGGCGGCGGCGTTGGGGCAGCTGCAACACCACACTGTGCAGGAGCGCAGTAGAAGGGGAGGGAGGCGGAGTGGCAGCAGGAGGGGAGCCATCGCTTTGCCAGGCATGGTTGTTTTGCCCCAGTGGGCACACCCTGGAGCCCTGCATTGTGCTTCCATGTTTAATTCATTGAAGCAAGCGTGTGTCATCACTTGCCAGAGTAAAACGTCAGCTGGCAGCATCGCGCATGGCAGCGCAGCGGCGGCGGCGCCACATCAGAGCAGGCAGAGCAGGAAGGTAAAAATCGAAACGCAACGAGTCCCTGCCTAATGCCAGCGCGTCGTACCTGAAGATCGCAGCCCATCAGGCTTACTGCGGTGGCACCAAGGCGAGCAGGCTCCGGGCGTGTAGCCAGTGTGTAGCCCGTGTGCAGAAGCGGGGCCCCGCGCTGTGGAGACACTGTCGGGACGGGGGGTTGCAACATTTTCCGTCCCGTGCTCGTCACCCTCCCCCCGCTGTCTTCTGCAGGCGCCATGCCCCACCCGCTCGATTTTCTGCTGCCCTGTGCGGGGCAGCAGCACTGCGACTGCACGCTGGTGCTCCTTCTGCCGCCCGCTGAGAGGAAGGCGCACAAAGAGGACGGCGGCACGCCCGACGCCGACCGCCAGCAGGCAGACCAGCATGAGCAGCAGGGCGATGAGCGGCGGGATGCACAGCAAGATGAGAGCAAGGGGCCAGCTGCCAAGCGGCAGAAAGCAGAGCAGCAGAGCGTGGATGGGCCGCAGCATCAGCAGCCTCCTGAGCAGCGCAGAGTCAGTCTTCAAACCAGCTCTACCCTGCTGGCGCTGTATTCTGAAAAGTTCAGGTGGTGCTTTGCTTGCCATTGCATCTCTACACAAGCACTGCCGCACTTACAGGGAGACGCCTTTGCTGCAGGGATTGGATTGCTCGCTGGATGAACGGCGCCGCCGAGAAGGAGCTGGAGGTGCATTGCCGCAGCGAGGGCGAGGTGGCTGGCTACCGGCACCTGCTGGCCTTCATGCACAGCATGGGCAAGGAGGTGCCTCAAGGTGAGCTGATGGTTTTGATTGTTTCTACAGCCCTGCTCCTTGCGGGCCCGCATGCCCAACCACCTGTGCTTGCTGCAGCCGCCGAGGAGCTGATCCAGCTGCTGCTGCTGGCACGGGAGCATGCGGTGGAGCCGGCCGTACTGGCCTGCTTGCAGCGGCTGCAGCAGCAGGTGAGCCTGCAGATAAGTGATTGGCATTTCAAGTGTCTTCCCGCTGCCCATTGCCAGCCTACCCTGTCTGTGAGATGAGCGCAGGTCCCCAGCATGCCTGCCACAGCCTGCCTGGCTCTGCTACTAGTCCTTGAGACCGGCGTTTCCGGCGGTGGCAGTCTTCAGGCAGAGGCAGACAAGCTGGAGGCAGATCTGTTCAAGCAGCTTTGCACGCTGCTGGCAGCAGGCGGGGCGGTGCCTGATGCTGCATCGCGGCGGCAGCTGCTGCTCTTCCTGGGGCCTCTGCAAGACATTCTGAATCATGAGCGGCGGCGGGAGGTGTTTGCCGGCATTCCGTTTGGCCTGCTGCGGGTGAGTTAGAAGCTTTCTCAGCATGCCACCTGGCACTTTGTCTCATGTTTCAGAGTCCATCCACTCTGTGCGCCGCAGGACTGCATTTTTGCGGATGAGAATGTGGATGCCGACACCGAGGCCACAGGTTCCTGCTGCTGCTGCCGCCGATGCCGCCAGCATGAGCCTGTCGATGTGGCATCAGCCGATGCCGCCAGCATGAGCCAATGTATGTGACTTTCAGCTTGGTTTCCCCTTCCCAACCCCTGCAGTGCTGGCGGCCTTTGCGTACTGGGCGGAGCGGAATATCAAAGACACTGAACCGGATGCCAGGCAGCGCATCGCCGCCATCTGCAGCCTCATCCGCTTCCCCGACATCCCTGCCAGTGTGCTGCATAGCTACCACCTGTGTCACAGCTTCATGCGCACATTTGATCCCGACAGGGAGCTACTGTTGCTTGCGGTAAGCAGGCGCAGCCCAATCCACTGTCAAGCAGGCATGACGCACTGCTCTGCACTTGCTGAAGCGCAGATCGCCTCAGCGGCCGAACCATCACAGGCGGCACGCTGGAAGCAACTCATGGCAGAGGGCAGCGCAAACGCACTCAAGGCCAACTGTGAGCGCTGGTGGCAGCCGCGCCCGCGGCCACTTGGACCCTACTCCGAGCTCCAGTCTGCCAGCTTTGAGTTCAAGGTAAGCGCGGCATGCCTAATGATTCCGCAGCTGTTCCCGTCTCATGCAGCTCACGCTGCTCTGTGCAGCCCGCAAGCAAATCAGACAACGATGAATATGTGTACACCGAATACTGCTACTGGGGCGGTTACTATTGGAGAATCAAGTTTGGAAAGAGAGAGGCCAATTTGGATGTCTATGTTGTTTCATCAGTTCGCCACGATCCGCCCTTTTTCGTCAAGGAGAGCGAGACTTTACCTGGAATTCAGGTGTGACGCATTGGTGATTGCAATACTGATAGCCCAACTACCTGCGCATGCATGTAACAGGCCAAAAGACGACTGTCGTTCTCTGCAGGTTGAGTACACGGTCTGGCTCTGCGCCGCCAACTCCACGTCTGATTTGGAGGCAGTCTCCGGCACAGACTACTTTGAGCCCTGCGCTGGTTATGGCTGGGGATATTCAGCAGTACGCGAGGCTCCCGAGCATGGCGATCAGCCCATCACCTGGGACGGCTTCTGGGCAGAGGGCTCCCGCTTCATGCACAACTGCTTCATGCGCCGCCCGCATGCGCCTGCAGCTGCGCCTGCCCTGCAATTAGTGCATGCCCTGGTGCATCCAGGCCTCCTCATGCCATCTGTATTCAGCACGACTGACTGTATGTATCACGGCCTGCACTTGTGATTGCGGCACCTCCTGCATCAGGGAGACATCGCAGGGCAACCGGCAGCAAAATGGCGGGGCGACCTGCTGGGCCCGCTGCGCTGCCCCCGCCATCAATAACTCAGTCCGTGCCTCAGCTCAACGTCGTGGTACCAACAATCTAGTGTGGGTTGACTGGCTTTATTACAGCAGCGGCTCCCCGCACATGCCGGCCGCTCGAGCGGGCCTCTTCTGTCTGCGCACTTCCAGCTTGCTGCGGCGCTTGTCAACCGATGCCGGATCCGGTGCGCCCCATCGCGCCCATGATGGCCGGACAGCAGCAGCCGCAGTTGCTCCCCTGCCGCCGCCTCCGGCCTGCTGCCGCCACTGCCCGGCTGCCAGCTCACACCCCTGCCCATCCCGTGTGTTCTGCCTCGCTCTGCAGACCCGAAGCTCGCCAAATGGCTGCAAGGGTGGGTGGCGGTGCCCGAGGCGGTGGTCACAGAGGGCACAGACCCGCCCACAGGCAAGCGCCCGCACCCTTGGCGGTCGGTTTCACGCCTGCCTGGACCTCCGTTGCATGCCACGCTGCACACAGCCCCTCATCCCTCCCCCATTCCACCTCCTCATCACCCCCCCTTGCCCTGTCGCAGCGCTGTCATGGCTGCGGCGCCGCGGCCCGCCGCTGCCAGAGGCTGCCCTGCACAAGCTGTTCCGGGTCTCCACTGTGCGCCTGTATGACCCCGCCACCCAGCGAGTGGGCCGCGCCAGCAAGTCCCGCCTCCTGCCGCCGGGCGCCACGCTGCTCATCCCCAGATCCGCAGTCGCCCCTCCAGCAGACAGCAGCCGCGGCAGCGACGGCGGCAGCGGCGGTAGCAGCGCCAGCAGCAGCGGCAGGAGCGGCGGCGACACCCCTGCGGCCGCCGCCCGCGCGTCGCCGTCCCGGCAGCGCGCCTCTGAGTGCTGGGCTGCCCGCCTGCGGTCGTGCCTGCTCCATAGCGACCCCGACCTGCTGGCTGTGTGCAAGCCGGCGGGTCTGGCGTGCCAGGGTGGCAGCGGCGTGGCGCACAGCGTGGACAGCGTGATGGCCGCCGCCTTTGCGCACCTGCCCGGCCCAGCCAGCCACCACCTGCGCCTGGTGCACCGCCTGGACAGGCAGACCACGGGTGCGCTGCTGCTGGCCAGGGGGCCCGACGCCGCCGCCTGGCTGGCAGCGGCGTTCCGGGAGAGCAGCGGCGGCAGCGGCGGCAGCGGACGAGGCGACAGCAGCAGCGGCGCCAGCATCCAAAAGCAGTACTGGGCGGTGGTGGCGCTGCCCGAGGGTGGCGGCGCCCACAGGCTGCCCGCGGCCGGCGCCATCAGCCTGCCCGTGCCCGGCGGCAGGGGCGGCGCCGCGGCGGCGCAGCCCGCTCTGACGCGCTACCGAGTGCTGCACCGCGGCGGGGGGCTGGCGTGGCTGGAGCTGGCGCCTGCCACGGGGCGCAAGCACCAGCTGCGCCTGCACTGCGCCCAGGGGCTGGGGGCTGCCATCCTTGGAGATGGGCGGTACGGGGCGGTGCGGAGCGGGGCCCAGGCGGCGGCGTTGGAGCGGCTGCAGCGCCACAGCAGCACAGGAGAGGCGGCAGGAGCGACAGCAGGCGGGCGTGGCTGGAGCGGGAGCGAGGCGCCCCTGTTCCTGCACTGCCGCAGCCTGGCGGTGCGCAAGCCCGGGGCGGGGCGGCGGCAGGTGGTGGTGACGGCGCCGCTGCCGGCCAGCTGGCGGGCGCTGCTGGCGCACCAGGGCTGGCCGCTGCCTGACCCCGACTGATGAGTCCTCCATGGCGGTGCTCCCCAACCGGCCGCCGGCCCCATCAGCGGCGCTGCTGCCACACCCGCCGCGGCTGCCTGGAATCACAAGTCGAGGCTGAAGTGGCTGTTTGGTGCATCCTCGCGCTGCGCAGCCTGCTGGGCGGCGTGTGGTCGAGGCTGGTGAGGAGTGCATGCCACCAGAGGAGCTGCGAGAGGCGCTGAGGGCGGCGCTGCAGCGCGAGCAGCGGCTGCTGGCCCAGCTGGCAATCATCCGCAAGCAGGCTGACGTTGCGCTGCTGGCAGCACGGGGTGATGTACAGAGCAGGGAGAGCGCTGAAGAAGCGGCCCACGGCGCCGGCGTGCCCTGCACTGCCGTGCTTATGCGCTCTGTTGTGCATCAGGCAGCGCTCTGGTGTGCATCAGGCAGCATTGTAACGCCCCTGCATTCAGAAGGCTACAGGCAGCATTGTTACGCCCCAGCATTCAGAAGGCTACAGTCGATGCCAGGGGCCGGCGGAGACCCGTGCTGCGTCCGCTACGCCGCCAGTCCACTCCTTGCCAAGGTCGATCAAACCACGCCTGCTCTGCAAGGGCATAAGTGAGCAGGCATCGGCAAATGCATACGGGGCAAGCATAGGTCGAGTGCAGGGTGCCGTCTTGGTTCAAGTGCTCCACCAGTGCGATCAGTTCAGCAGCTGTGCAAGGCTCGTCTGCCTGCGTGGTGCGTGGCCACGGCGCCTGAGGTGGGCTTGTGGCGGCGGGGGGGGGGGGGGGGGGGGGGGAAACGGGTGGGGATGCCACTTGCGTCGTCAGCTGCGCCATGCCGCTACCCGTGATGGTGCTCCCAGAC